CTTTCTGTGATTGGTTATTTCACGTTGACGTCGAAAATAGGTGGTGGTCACATTAATGTGACTGGACTGTGTATATATATATATATATTTCAACTCCTGTCTAAGCTTCATCATAGAATGGAATATAATTAATATTCTTACCATTCCGATCTTAAATGTTTGTATCATGTACGACAATTATGACTTTATGATATTTTTTTAAAGCAATTTCTACTTAAATTTTGTTTTTAAGAGAAATAGATGGTACCCCTTACATTTTTAATAATATTAAAACTTTTTGCTAAACAAAGATTTTTCTCATTAGTTTGTGTTGACGATAAATCATAATTAAAGAGTTGGATACTTCAAGTCAAAGCATAAAATATCTTTAAACTCTTGGAATTAAAGCATTATTTTTAAGGTAGTTTACTCATTTATTTAACTTGATTTTTTTTTTATTTATTCAGTGTCAGACTTAGTTTAGTGCAGCGTAATTATTGTTAATTTTATTTGCTTTTTCACTGTTTACACGAGATTTTGGTTAACAAATAAAAATTTTGAGATCATTTATGAAAAATTGAATGCGATTGCAATGATAAATTTTTCATATCTGTTTCGTGATTCGTTTTTAAGTGATCTGAATTTTAATAAAATTTTTATAAAGAATTTTGATAAAGTTAAACATAAAAATATTCAGTTGATTCATTTAAAATTGAAGAAAACCAGCATTCATTATAAAGAATTACTAAGCAATAACATACTCATGAAAGATATATATTACTGCATGTATGATGACTAAAAATAAGTATTAAATGCATATTTTTTATTTTTCGTTTAGTTCAGAACATATTATTACAATTTTAATTATACGGATAATTTATGAATTACGTTGAATTTATTATTACGAAAAATTTATTATTGGTTAATAATTTTTTTCATTACAGTTTCATTTAAAAGATTTCTTCACAAGGTCTATGCATATAATAGCTAAAGAAAAAGGGGTTTCGACTCTGCTATAAATATATATGAAATTAAGTAGACAAAAAAAAAAAGCTATTTGAGCTGATTCAAATCATTCTCAGAAAGTGCAATATTGTTTTTTAATTAACAATTTCAGTAATTTTTATGATAATTTAAAGGTTTGCTGACCTTTGTTTTAATTTTACACAACTGTAACATGTATCGTTACTTTTGATTATGCAACGAAGTATTATCGTTAAAAACTTGTCAATATCATAAGTAACTTCCCTTGCAATAAGATCCCAAGAAAGGATAGTAATAGAAAGTTTTTTTTAATTTTCTAAAAAATTGTTAAACTTTAAGTTACACTTACACATTTATACTAAGATAGTTTGAATGTTTACTTACTCTCAGCTATTCATATGTATGAAATTTTTGTGTTTTACTATAAAATTAAATGTAATATAGACATTTCAATTCTGACTGAATTATAATAAAGTTGTTTCAATTTTCAGTTTACAATTTCAAAATTTTTTTAGTCCGATTTCATAATCATAAAATAAGAACAAAAATTAGGATTTAAAAATAAAATTACACATGAATAATCAAATTTGTTAAATAAATCTATTTGTTGTACAGTTTAAATGTTACATATATGCGGAAATATAAAAGCATAGATTGATTTAATACAAATATTTGCTTAACTCCAATATTTTTTAAGTTATTTTTATCGCCAATAAAAGATCACGTTTTATTTACAGGAACAGAATTACACAATACAAATTAAAATTAACGTATGAAATTAACAAATATAAATTAATCAGAAAGAAAATGTGAAAAGAAATTTTAAATAGTTAAATGCTACATTAAACAAAAAGAAAATCTAAAACGAAGCGTTTTTAGGATGAGTGTCAAAGACGACGTTTCTAGATAGAATGACCGAAGAAATGGAAGTTTTATGTCCTGAAAAGGTTAACATATATATGCAGTTCTAGAAATCCAAGAGAATTCTTTGTTTGAAGCATGTATTTTAAGACCGTAAATAGGATCTGTGTATAGCCGATATTTTAAGAAGTAGATGAGATAAGATAGAGCTCATTCAAAGAACATTTTCAATTAGAGTAATATGAGCTGGCTACTTTTCTGAGGGGAGAAGCTTTGTGGGTGGTAAATCAATGGGGAAAGGGATGGAGCGAAGCGTTTATTGCTCTCTTGATGAATGGGTAACAAAGTGGCATAAGGGATTATTTTATTTCTGTTACAGACTAATAAAAGCCTTAAAATAAAATGTCATGGGAATTCCCCATTTTTTTCAGTAAATAAAATATTTAAAAAATGTAAAATTTTTCTAAAATTACGGAAAAATTATCTATAATGTTAAAAAAAAAGGAAAATTGCCTTGTACAATGGTTGGTGTTTGAACACCCCCCTTACCTACGTCCCTGCCATGGGTAGAGAGTTCTGCTCTATGCCACCTGTAGCCCATTTCGATCACCAATGTAAATTAAATGACACGAATGTTGAGCGAAAAATTTTAACTTTAGGAGGGTCTATGTAACTTTTTTTTAATAAAAAGTGAGGGGGCTAAAGCCCTCTCTGATCCCCAGGTCCTTGGATAAAGTACCCCTCTCCAAATATTAAATTGTAATTTTTACAAACTGTGGTTTGATTTTTTTTTTTAGCTATTTTCATTATCAGCGTTAGATGACATTAACGAATTCAATGCTGTAAATAGAATGGCAAAAAATGTATCCTTATTTATGAATAACTAATTGTTTCTGATGCTGATTCAGATGCAAAAATAACATTGTGGCTGATACTTAATTGTATTAGTTTCAACTGATGCCAAGTACATCAAATTTGAAATATATGACTTTTTCAAAATTCGATTTCCCAGAAACTATTCAATCAATTTCGCTTAACTTTTTTATTTTACCATGCGAAATTACATGCTTTAAAATTATGTAAAAATTGTGTACCTAACAATTAAAAAATTTTCGACTTTTATTTTATAAAATAATAACTATTTACTAAAATTTATTTTTTGTATGGAATTTTCTTTGGACGTCAGGCTGACCGTGGGAGGTCTTCGTGGTTTTCCCCTCTATGTAACGAAAATGCAATTCCATCAAAGAGTCCACCGTCATTTCTCCCTATACTTGATCTAGGAGTTCCCTTGTCTTCTGAATTGGGTTCAACATTGCATAGCTACAGAGTTAAACAAGGCTACGGAGTAGTCGTAGGCCACAACAATTGGGTCGGCTGTTAACGATGGTTATAAAATATCTAAATAAAAACTACAATTTTGTATGAAGAGTCTTCAAACAATTTACAAAATATGAAAATAATACTTTATGTGCTTTGAGGATGGCACTCACAGGAAATGTTGTCTTGCGATCCGAAAAATTCTTGAGCCTTGAGTCTTCTTTCGCTGCACTGCAGCTTTCCGGGGCCACTTAGTGACATCTTTCGCATTTTTTTTCTCAGAGAGAAGTTTAGTAACCAGTACGTAGTGAGTGACATATTTCGTATTTCCTCCCCACTGATCAGTTTATGTTTGTTACGTCGTACTACTAAATTTATTCGAGCAAAGGCCTTCCTTCTTTTACGAGGTGTTGGTTTTAACCCACAAGCGGAGATTATCGAAACCAAACGGAAGAGTGGTGTTACTTATCGGGTTAAATCCTTATTGTATAAATCTTTAATAAATGTATAATAAGCTGGACTAGAAATTTTTTTATACGTGTAATGTAATATTAAGTATAGTTTAAAATCAGGAGAAAATTAGAGTTGACATAGTCAAAACAAACTTATCAACACACACACCGTGAATAAATGAATACCCCAATATGGGGGTGAGCCTTTCTTCTTGACTAGTAAAGTGTATTTCAGAGTTTGTCCACTAGAAAACAGAACCAGTTTTACCCCACTTCTCGGTTTTACACCATACTCTCATCTATCTATATATACATATATATAGCTTTTACTGATTGTTTTAACTCTTTAAAAATTTCTTAAGTAGCTGTTATACTGTATACTCTCGATATCGTGAACTTTAATATCTTGAAAACCTTGTTATGTCAAATATTTTTCGAAATAGAAATTGAATTTTTTCGGAAAAATCACAATGTAAGCTTATTGTAAACCAGTTTTCTATTTAATGAATATTCTATTTTTGTCTTACTTTTAAAAATAAAATTATCATTGTTACAGTTAGACTTATAGTTCACTATCATTGCATACATATTTGTTAGTAGTCATTCTATGTTTCATGTACCTACTTTTTAGAGTAATATTTCTTTGAATATATTTTTCTACTTTTTAGAACATATTTAGTTCTAATCTTGTTATCTCAAAAACTCGCTGTTTTGAAATTTTTTTAGGGAGCCCTTCAACTTGGAGATATAGAGATATACTGTATTTTAAGTTGCAAATTTAATTTTTGTATCAAATAATAAGATATTTATACTATTCTCAGAACTACAATAATGACAAATCATGGTGCGTAGCCAAATCTGTCAACAAAAAATAAGCACCTCTTAAGCACTCAAAAAATATTTTTAAGCACTATATACATGAACAAAAAGCAAAATAATTTTCAAAGACTTTACATGATCATGATAAAATAACTAGTTTCTGCCAAAGAACAGTTTTCATGATTATATTAGATATTATAAAATGATCGAGAGATTTTTCGGTTCTATATCAGAGAGTGTAAAATGAAGCCTGAAATTGAGAATATCTTCCAAATTGCAGCAGAGTTGCACATGAGAGTGCAATAATCTCACCGAACCCAGCTGAGTAGACACACATGCGGATTCGCAAGTATTTCATCAAACATGTAAAACGATTAGCGCTTTCATACGCTACCGACCGACGATACGCCAAAATGGACTGCGGTTGAATGAATCTCAAGAATCATTACAGGATAAAAAAAATTAAAAAATCCTAACTAACGGAACCCATGTGACCCATGCACAATCACGGTACATCTTTTAAAATCTGCAGTCCCATTCCATTTAGTTTATTCTGTGAATTTACTTTTGCGTCTTTATTACTAGGTATGGTTTCAGAACAAACGTGCAAAATGGCGAAGGCAAAGCAAGCTGAAAAGTATAAATAGGCACTGTTGCATCAGCTGCAGGACAACCGCACAAAACACTATGACATCGTCAATGGCAGAAAATGGCTTTTTCTCTTCAACTCCAGAGCACAACACTGGACCAGAGTTTTCAACATTATTTACGGGGCCAATGAACATCAATCCCCATTTACAACAGCATGCATTCTACTTAAGCAGCTTCTTAAAACCACCCCAAATATTTTACAAATAAGATTTTGAAGTTCAAAATCCACTATGCACTGCTACTATATTCTATGATTTGTGTACTCTTTTCAATATTAATAGATCAAAATTCTATGTTTCCCATGTATATTTATCTATTGAATAAACACAATATTTTATAATAATATTGATAAATATGAGAAATTGATATTTGATCTATAATGTTAAAAAAAAAGGAAAATTG